ATCCTGTCCATCCTGGTCACTCCTAAAGAGAACCTCAACATCCTCATCTCTGCTACCTCCATCTCTGCCTCTTGTCTTTTCCTCACTGCTACAGTCTCTAACCCATACAGCATAGCTGGTCTCACTGGTCAAGTCAAGAATCTTTATTGTCATTATGCATAGCACAACAAAAAATTTTCCGGCAGCTCTCAGCTTAAAAGACAGAGTTATTATTTACATAACACACAATTGTATAAGTCAATATAAAAATATGAACAAATAAAAAGGGGTGTATGGGACAAAGTTAACACCAAACCTGCCCATCACGTCCTCATCACCTTTGTTCCCCTCACCAACATGCCCGCTGAAGTCTGCTCCAATCACCACTCTCTCCCCTCTGGGAATACTCTCCATCACCTCATCTGACTCACTCCAGAATCTCTCCTTCTCTTCTAACTCACACCCTACTTGTGGAGCATAACCACTGACTACATTCAACATTACCCCTTCAATTTCCAACTTCAAACTGATCACCCTGTTTGACACTCTTTTCTCCTCTAAAACAATCCTCACCAGCTCCTCCTTCAGGATCACTCCTACCCCATTTCTCTTCCTATCTACACCATAATAAAACTGTTTGTATCCCCCTCCAATACCTCGCACTTTGCTACCCTTCCACCTGGTCTCCTGCACACACAGTATATCTACCTTCTTTCTCTGCATCATGTCCACCAGCTCTCTACCTTTCCCTGTCATTGTGCCAACATTAAGAGTCCCTATTCTCAGACCTATACTCCTGCCTTTCCTCTTCTCTGTCTGTCTACGAATCCCTCTACCTCCTCTCCTTCTTCGACCAACAGTAGTCCAATTTCCGCCAGCACCCTGTAGGTCAACAGCACTGGTGGCGATCATTGTTAACCCGGGCCTCGACCGATCCGATATGGAATTCACACTGATGATTTCCATGCTTAAATTTGGCATGTTTTTACGCTGGATGCCCTTCCTGACCCAACCCTCTGTATTTAGCCAGGCTTGGGACCGGCATACAAGTCACTGGCTTGCAAACCCTGAGGCTAGGTTAAAAATGAGGAACGCGTCACAAATTTGCATGTCATAAATCAAACTCATTATAAGAAAACTATATGTGTAGGTTCTCCTTGTAGGCTATGATCCACTGTGTCTTGTATTGCCCACAGTATTTCTGTTTTCTTTTTTTCTGAATTACCTTTCAAAATACTTATAAGTAACCCATTTTTATTGTAGAATATATGACACACACACACATAAAAATGTTAAACAAATTTGTTGCTGCATACAAAAAAGATTAAAGGAGACCTATGTATAACACGGAACCACATTATTGCTACATTATGTTATTTGAGCTTCCTCGACAGTTAAACTTTAAGCATATTCATCACTGCATTGTTGGCGCTATGTATAATTCTAAGCGATAGGGGGCAGCACCTGTCCGTCACCAGACAAAAAAGAAATCCAGTCAACTTCCGCCTTCCTCCTTCTTTTGAAGAGCAAGTCAAAGCTACTGCTGCAATGACAAAGCTGGTTTTATTGTGCCTCAAATGTATTATTTTATGCAGCACTATCGAGGCTGTGTTTGAGGATCAAGTAGGAAAATTTGACTGGTAAGAGGAATCTAGAGAGCGAACCAAATGTTTGTGCCAATTAGGGCCATGTTTCATTGTGAAGCTAATGCTAACACCTGTCACAGCCACTAGCTGCGACCCGGTGTGTTTGGGGTGGACTGTGATAGAACAGGCCAAAAAAAAACATTGCAATGAATATAAAATGTTTTGTTTGCTGGCTTATCTCGGGTGTTGTTAGCAAATTTTTTATTTACCATATGAAAATCAATGGCCTAGTAAACTAAGTGAAGAAATGTGAAAAGAAGAATGGAAGAATGGAAAACATTGTAACAAATATGATCATCTGATAAAAAAAAAAAGATAATATGGTAGTAATGAGCCGTGTGTCATATCACTGGAGTTTTATGCTGGCACCGATAGAAACAGTGATTTAGCTATAATTATAAACCAGCTTGTTGCCCTCTGAAAACCTGTGTCTTGTGATTCGCAGGAGGCAGCAATATGTAGGCAAGGTTCGCTTTTCTCATTTCGACATACACGTGCAGTCATCCAAAAAAGTTCTCTTTCCTCTCCTCTTCTTCCTGACCACCAGTCATCCTACACACCACCATCCAATGCTGTCTGGCTACACTTTCTCCTACCACCACTTTGCAGTCACTAATCTCTCTCAGATTGCCTCATCTACATAGAATGTAGTCTACCTGCGTACTCCTACCTCCACTCTTATATGTAACTCTATGTTCCTCCCTCTTCTGGAAATAGGTGTTAACTACAGCCATTTTTTCCCTTTATTTCTTTCAAGCATATAAAAGAAAATTATATATATGCACTCAAATATACACACAATTACAAAAATAATAACCATATAACCAATACGCATAAAACATCACAACATCCTCTTAGCAAAGTCCACCACCATCTGTCCTTCTAGGTTCCTTCCCTTAACACCAAACCTGCCCATCACGTCCTCATCACCTTTGTTCCCCTCACCAACATGCCCGCTGAAGTCTGCTCCAATCACCACTCTCTCCCCTCTGGGAATACTCTCCATCACCTCATCTGACTCACTCCAGAATCTCTCCTTCTCTTCTAACTCACACCCTACTTGTGGAGCATAACCACTGACTACATTCAACATTACCCCTTCAATTTCCAACTTCAAACTGATCACCCTGTTTGACACTCTTTTCTCCTCTAAAACAATCCTCACCAGCTCCTCCTTCAGGATCACTCCTACCCCATTTCTCTTCCTATCTACACCATAATAAAACTGTTTGTATCCCCCTCCAATACCTCGCACTTTGCTACCCTTCCACCTGGTCTCCTGCACACACAGTATATCTACCTTCTTTCTCTGCATCATGTCCACCAGCTCTCTACCTTTCCCTGTCATTGTGCCAACATTAAGAGTCCCTATTCTCAGACCTATACTCCTGCCTTTCCTCTTCTCTGTCTGTCTACGAATCCCTCTACCTCCTCTCCTTCTTCGACCAACAGTAGTCCAATTTCCGCCAGCACCCTGTAGGTCAACAGCACTGGTGGCGATCATTGTTAACCCGGGCCTCGACCGATCCGATATGGAATTCACACTGATGATTTCCATGCTTAAATTTGGCATGTTTTTACGCTGGATGCCCTTCCTGACCCAACCCTCTGTATTTAGCCAGGCTTGGGACCGGCATACAAGTCACTGGCTTGCAAACCCTGAGGCTAGGTTAAAAATGAGGAACGCTTCACAAATTTGCATGTCATAAATCAAACTCATTATAAGAAAACTATATGTGTAGGTTCTCCTTGTAGCCTATGATCCACTGTGTCTTGTATTGCCCACAGTATTTCTGTTTTCTTTTTTTTCTGAATTACCTTTCAAAATACTTATAAGTAACCCATTTTTATTGTAGAGTATATGACACACACACACACACACACACATAAAAATGTTAAACAAATTTGTTGCTGCATACAAAAAAGATTAAAGGAGACCTATGTATAACACGGAACCACATTATTGCTACATTATGTTATTTGAGCTTCCTCGACAGTTAAACTTTAAGCATATTCATCACTGCATTGTTGGCGCTATGTATAATTCTAAGCGATAGGGGGCAGCACCTGTCCGTCACCAGACAAAAAAGAAATCCAGTCAACTTCCGCCTTCCTCCTTCTTTTGAAGAGCAAGTCAAAGCTACTGCTGCAATGACAAAGCTGGTTTTATTGTGCCTCAAATGTATTATTTTATGCAGCACTATCGAGGCTGTGTTTGAGGATCAAGTAGGAAAATTTGACTGGTAAGAGGAATCTAGAGAGCGAACCAAATGTTTGTGCCAATTAGGGCCATGTTTCATTGTGAAGCTAATGCTAACACCTGTCACAGCCACTAGCTGCGACCCGGTGTGTTTGGGGTGGACTGTGATAGAACAGGCCAAAAAAAACAACAACATTGCAATGAATATAAAATGTTTTGTTTGCTGGCTTATCTCGGGTGTTGTTAGCAAATTTTTTATTTACCATATGAAAATCAATGGCCTAGTAAACTAAGTGAAGAAATGTGAAAAGAAGAATGGAAGAATGGAAAACATTGTAACAAATATGATCATCTGATTAAAAAAAAAAAGATAATATGGTAATAATGAGCCGTGTGTCATATCACTGGAGTTTTATGCTGGCACCGATAGAAACAGTGATTTAGCTATAATTATAAACCAGCTTGTTGCCCTCTGAAAACCTGTGTCTTGTGATTCGCAGGAGGCAGCAATATGTAGGCAAGGTTCGCTTTTCTCATTTCGACATACACGTGCAGTCATCCAAAAAAGTTCTTCTGGCAACGGAGAAGAACGTTTTTGCTGCCCTCAACACCAGGACTGGAGAGCTTTGTGGGTATTTTGTTCGTCTGTTGTAATATAATCCTATTAGGCCAAGTCCACAACAATGAATAACCTGTTGGTTGACTTAGTTTTTTAAATTATATTACTGCTTAATAAATGTCTGTTACAGTTTGGCGGCATGTAGATAAGGCTGGGCCAGAGGGAAACATTGATGCTCTTTTGCAACATGGACAAGGTGATTTTTGTCATTGCACTGAGCTTATAAGATGTTTAGTTCTTTCAATGAAGCCACATAACTCATCATGTTGTTCTTGTTTCTTAGACGCAGTACTGGTGATTGGTAATGGCCGTCTGCTGCGCTCCTGGGAGACAAATGTTGGTGGTTTGAACTGGGAGGTTGTGCTTGACCCTGGAAGGTGATTATTTCCTTGACTGTCAGTGATTTAGTATATTGTTGTCCTTATTTTGATCTGATGTTAACTGCTTTTGTTACACCTTTTAGTTTCCAGTCGGCATGTTTAGTTGGACAGCAAGACACAGTGAAATATATGGCTGTTCAGAAGAAAACTGCCATCTCTCTCCATTACCTTTCTAATGGTCATCAGAGATGGATAGAGAATCTTCCAGAAAGGTAAATGACTGTGTTTTAAAGTTATTATGTCAAGATTTATAGCTTTTTAATAGCTCGTTAAATAATGGTAATGGTATATGATTGGAGGAATGACAGTAGTGTGTTTGAAACAAGGTAATGAAGTACTGGATCAAGAAGAGCAGATTATAAAAAATTTCTCAAGTCAATAGTGAATTAATGGATACATACAGTATGTGACATTTAATTATTTAGTCATCATTTTGGGTTACCTCTACATACAAGGTTGGCATTTTACCCGCCAGCACCCTGTAGGTCAACAGCACTGGTGGCGGTCATTGTTAACCCGGGCCTCGACCGATCCGATATGGAATTCACACTGATGATTTCCATGCTTAAATTTGGCATGTTTTTACGCTGGATGCCCTTCCTGACCCAACCCTCTGTATTTAGCCAGGCTTGGGACCGGCATACAAGTCACTGGCTTGCAACCCCTGTGGCTAGGTTAAAAATGAGGAATGCGTCACAAATTTGCATGTCATAAATCAAACTCATTATAAGAAAACTATATGTGTAGGTTCTCCTTGTAGCCTATGATCCACTGTGTCTTGTATTGCCCACAGTATTTCTGTTTTCTTTTTTTCTGAATTACCTTTCAAAATACTTATAAGTAACCCATTTTTATTGTAGAATATATGACACACACACACATAAAAATGTTAAACAAATTTGTTGCTGCATACAAAAAAGATTAAAGGAGACCTATGTATAACACGGAACCACATTATTGCTACATTATGTTATTTGAGCTTCCTCGACAGTTAAACTTTAAGCATATTCATCACTGCATTGTTGGCGCTATGTATAATTCTAAGCGATAGGGGGCAGCACCTGTCCGTCACCAGACAAAAAAGAAATCCAGTCAACTTCCGCCTTCCTCCTTCTTTTGAAGAGCAAGTCAAAGCTACTGCTGCAATGACAAAGCTGGTTTTATTGTGCCTCAAATGTATTATTTTATGCAGCACTATCGAGGCTGTGTTTGAGGATCAAGTAGGAAAATTTGACTGGTAAGAGGAATCTAGAGAGCGAACCAAATGTTTGTGCCAATTAGGGCCATGTTTCATTGTGAAGCTAATGCTAACACCTGTCACAGCCACTAGCTGCGACCCGGTGTGTTTGGGGTGGACTGTGATAGAACAGGCCAAAAAAAAACATTGCAATGAATATAAAATGTTTTGTTTGCTGGCTTATCTCGGGTGTTGTTAGCAAATTTTTTATTTACCATATGAAAATCAATGGCCTAGTAAACTAAGTGAAGAAATGTGAAAAGAAGAATGGAAGAATGGAAAACATTGTAACAAATATGATCATCTGATAAAAAAAAAAAGATAATATGGTAGTAATGAGCCGTGTGTCATATCACTGGAGTTTTATGCTGGCACCGATAGAAACAGTGATTTAGCTATAATTATAAACCAGCTTGTTGCCCTCTGAAAACCTGTGTCTTGTGATTCGCAGGAGGCAGCAATATGTAGGCAAGGTTCGCTTTTCTCATTTCGACATACACGTGCAGTCATCCAAAAAAGTTCTTCTGGCAACGGAGAAGAACGTTTTTGCTGCCCTCAACACCAGGACTGGAGAGCTTTGTGGGTATTTTGTTCGTCTGTTGTAATATAATCCTATTAGGCCAAGTCCACAACAATGAATAACCTGTTGGTTGACTTAGTTTTTTAAATTATATTACTGCTTAATAAATGTCTGTTACAGTTTGGCGGCATGTAGATAAGGCTGGGCCAGAGGGAAACATTGATGCTCTTTTGCAACATGGACAAGGTGATTTTTGTCATTGCACTGAGCTTATAAGATGTTTAGTTCTTTCAATGAAGCCACATAACTCATCATGTTGTTCTTGTTTCTTAGACGCAGTACTGGTGATTGGTAATGGCCGTCTGCTGCGCTCCTGGGAGACAAATGTTGGTGGTTTGAACTGGGAGGTTGTGCTTGACCCTGGAAGGTGATTATTTCCTTGACTGTCAGTGATTTAGTATATTGTTGTCCTTATTTTGATCTGATGTTAACTGCTTTTGTTACACCTTTTAGTTTCCAGTCGGCATGTTTAGTTGGACAGCAAGACACAGTGAAATATATGGCTGTTCAGAAGAAAACTGCCATCTCTCTCCATTACCTTTCTAATGGTCATCAGAGATGGATAGAGAATCTTCCAGAAAGGTAAATGACTGTGTTTTAAAGTTATTATGTCAAGATTTATAGCTTTTTAATAGCTCGTTAAATAATGGTAATGGTATATGATTGGAGGAATGACAGTAGTGTGTTTGAAACAAGGTAATGAAGTACTGGATCAAGAAGAGCAGATTATAAAAAATTTCTCAAGTCAATAGTGAATTAATGGATACATACAGTATGTGACATTTAATTATTTAGTCATCATTTTGGGTTACCTCTACATACAAGGTTGGCATTTTAAAACACTTCATAAATGACTCTTTTTTTTTTTTCTTATCCCTACAGTGAGACTGTGGATTACCAGGCTGTGTACTCTGGTGGAAATGGTGAGGTTTATGTACTGGGAGTTGTTCCTCATTCCCATATTACTATTGTTGCTTACAGCGTGGACGATGGAGAGATAATCAAACAGGTAATCTTGAATTACAGTAGCCCTAAAGTATTGAAGGGCATTGTAGAATATGATTATTTTAACACCTAGAGGAATAATAAAACACAAATATTATTTTAAATACATCAAGCAAACCAAATGTATGTTCTAATATATTATTAAAATTCCACATTTCTGCCACTGTCATTGTGTTGTCTTCAGATTTCTGTCAAAGCTCCATGGCTGTCCAGCATAAGGGCCAGCTGTACAGTGGTCGGCCAGGGAATGTTGACATGCGTGGACTCAGCAACTGCGTCCTTCTACATGCTTGACTTACACGTGCAGCCACAGATGACTCAGATCTCTCTGCAGGTACCCACCAAAATAAAACAAAACCTTTTTTATCCATTTTGTGAAGTAACCATCACTACATTTAGAGGCACTTAAGCAACCACAGTTTTTTTTTCCAGTAAAATAATTTCTTTAAAGACGTGTGAATGAGAAACCTAGTTTCCATAATCAAGAGTAGAGGTTTAGAGAAACATGATTTCTTCAGGAGAGCACTCATTTCTCTCCATGTACACAGGTAACCAGGTTTCTTCATTTCTCTGAGTAATCTGGTTGTTTTTGTAAGTGCATATAAACGTGTGCCTGCTGCTCTAGTGTGGGTTGGTCTTCATTTCTCTCTTTTCTCTGTATTTCTTAACATATACAATAAAACATTTTGTCTTTGTACCAGCCTCTTTTTTTCTATGTGAATGATTTTCATCATTTTTATGCCACAATTTGTCTTCCTCTAGTCACTGGGACTTGACATTTACCCAGGCTTCCGTCCAGGACTGTTGTCCACACAGCCCAACCCAGCTCGCCCACCACTGTCAGAGTTCTTTCTTCAGCTTGGGTCTGAACATTACCTGCTTCTCCAGCTCAACAATGGTCAGATAGTTTCACTGAGGGATTTCAAGCCTGTACGTAGCTCCTCCTCTACACTGCACTTCTGTCTTTTACATGATTGAGATTCATCGAAGTCAGGCTACTTGTTGTTTCTAATATTTGCTTTTCAAGAGTGTATGTCGCGCATCTAAGCTTCAGTTACAGTACATGTGTATGTCACCAGGCTTTATTTGAGATATTTCACTGTCAGATGAAAATGGCAAGTAACATCTTTACAACGAAATATTACAGATACCAATGTATTTTCTGTCACTTCTAAAATGTCCTTACTTTTAAGCTGATGTTCTCCAAAATGTAGTACTTTATATGTCTTTTAATACCAAATTTAAAAAGTATAAGTCTCAGTGTGTCATACTAACATGTATTGCACTTGTTAGCTACAATAAAAATATCATTTTGTACATAATTTTGTCTCGATTCATAGGCAATGCTGGCCTCATTTGCAACCACTGGAGAAAAGACTGTTGCTGTTGTGATGTCACCCAAGAATAGAACTGTAAGTTAATGAGAAATCATACATTTAGATTTGTTAAGTGTGTGATTTGCTGTTGTGCTCTCTTGGAAAACAATACGGACCTTGGATAACAGTATGTGTCCACAGGTTCAGAACATTTTTAGTTATCCTTTTGTGTTCTTGATGTCTGATTGGTATATTAAGGGATGAACAAATCTGATGTGGTGCTCTGAAGATGAGCAACACTTAGTCAGGCTTTTTATATGGCCTTATGGAAACAAATTTGTTAAGGCATTTGAGTGTGATTAATCAAATGAATTAGTCTCTTGCGCTTCATTCAGTATGTCAAAAAAAAAAAAGTATAATTTTTTTTTTTTTTTTTAACCACAATGAAAGATGTGACAGTCTGTTTCTTCCTCGTAGGCTTGCAGCGTTAACCTCTTTAGTGCAGACACTGGACGCAGGCTTCTAGACACAACACTGATTTTCAATATAGATCCTAATGGTGGGAAACCAGAGAAGGTATGTCTGTTTTTTTTCCCCCCAAGTAGCTGATAAAGCAACCATGGCTTTTACATAAAGTTTAACATGATTGTTCTCATAGCAGATCAGCTTAGTTTGTGAGATGACTTAAACGATCATTCCAAAGTTTGGACACACTTCCTTGTTGAATTGAATGGGAAAGTGTGTCCAAAGTTTTAAATGGTAGTGCAGGTACAGTACATTGAGCTTTAGGGTGTTAACAAAGGTTTTCTGATCTCATTAACATTTATTCTGTCTTGCAGTTGTATGTGCAGGCATTCCTCAAGAAAGATGACTCGGTTGGCTACAGGGTCATGGTGCAGACAGAAGACCACACGCTCACTTTCATACAGCAGCCAGGTATGGTTGGCAAATACACAAAGCTTTGTCAGTTTTGGAAAGTGTCTTGTCACTCTGTGCTGATGTTTATAATGCCGTCTGCCATTGTGTGCTTTTTTGATTCCATCACTGAGGGGTGCAAAGGTTCGACAATTTTAAACTCTGGCTGGCAGTAAAACAGTAACAGACAAAATAAGCTGACCTTTTTGCCAGGATCCCACAACTACACTAATGTCTGGGCCTTTTGGTTTTCATAAAGAATAAAAACGGAGGCCTTGGAATTCATATACAGTGATCTGCATATGACACCTAGCTAATAATTAGTAGGTAAAACGTTAGATTTACATATGTGAAGAATCCAGCCCTCATTGTGTTTACTGATGAGACTAGTACATTTTTCCAAAGTGAAAAGAGACTTGTGAGCCATGCTTTGCCACATGATAACACTGAGGTATGTTCCATCTCTTAATGATCATGAATACTGCCAACATCTGACCACTGTGTGGAGTACAAGCAAGCTCTGTTTTATAATGTGCATATAATCTTTTCCTTTCCATAAGCATGAGGGGTGAAACATTTAGCCATGTCATAATTCATGGGAAGGATCAGCACAAACTCCATGCTGTCACAGGGTGTGGAAAGTGGAATGAATGGTTGCAGAACAATAACAAGTCTTGTTTTCCAGGGCGTGTAATGTGGACAAGAGAGGAGGCCCTGTCAGACGTAGTGACAATGGAAATGGTGGATCTGCCCCTCACAGGAACGCAGGCAGAGCTGGAAGGGGAGTTCGGCAAAAAAGCAGGTAAATCTCAAACTAAACCTGCTTTTCATTGTTTTACTCCGGATTTCCCCGCTTTAAGCACTAATCTCAGCTATGTATTAGTATTCGGCATTTTATTGTTTGTATATATTTATTATTTTCATTAGTTCTCTAATTCTCCTATCAGGACAGTTGTCAAATTTCTGATCCTAGGTTTATTTTTTAAAGGTTGTTTAATCGATTTGACATTTATGTTCCAATAATCTACATGCATTAGCTATTAGGGGTGTGACAATACATTTGTTCATGAGACAATACATGATATTGGGTTCACGAGATGAGATGATATTTTAACTCTATTTTTAAGAACTCTTGAACAATGACAAAATATATAACTGGAAAAATATTTTATTCAACCAAGTTACAAAATAATGGAGGTACATTTTGAAATGTTTTAACTAATCATCTTGTAATGAATGTCAGGTCTACTTTCTGAGTATGAATCATCGTATACAGTAAAACACAACAAGATGTAAGCACTGTAAAAGGTTCTGCCACAAACTCAACTGACTGGCTTCTCTCCTGCATGATTTCACATGACTCTCCTCAGACCTTTTAACTATGCATGAGCTTCTAACTTGTGTGTGTGACCTTTGCTATCTTCACCCGCACCGCACCAGATGGTGGCATCATGCAGCTAAGGTGCTGTGTTGACCAATCACGTACAGGAGATGATCGGGACATGGACACCCACAGGAAGAAGACTTTTTTTGTTTACCTTGTTAGCATGAGCATTCACTGTTATTCACTGAGGAATTTGGGCCACAATTAAAGCACCATAATGGCACACCATGCATTTTTGTTAGTACTGGATGTTACACTGTGTTTTTCATCCATCGATGCAGACACGGTGGTAGAATTGGTGCTAGGTTGAGTTGGCTACATTAGCAGCATCGCAAACCAAAACAATAGAAACTCACAGGCTGGAAATGTGAATGAAGCCACTCACGTCGACTCATCACAACATTGCCGTATCGTACACACCTACAACGTACCATCACTTTGCTGTCACACTTTGTGACACTGGCTGCTGCTCTGGTTTTCTTATGTACTGATTTCACAAGGCAGCTTTTTCCTCAACGAATAATATCGTCACGTTTTAATATTGCAATATCTCGTGGCATGAGATCATTTAGTTCATTGAATTGTTGCTTTTACTTTTGTGCCTTACTTCAGCTGCCCAGCATGTACATTTAATCACCAGTACTTTTTTTCTTTTATTATTTTTGCACTGGCTACAGGAAGGTGGCCAGTTAAGTATTTGTTGTGTTGAGGTCATGAATCTCTTGGTTGCTGTTAGCTTCACTTTCTTTTATTTTTGTCCTGGTTTTATTGCTGCATTTGGATCCAGCAATTCAAGGTAACATAATTCTCTGTTCTTATTCAATAAAACTTGTTTGCTTGTCTTAAGCACACAGTTTCTGGTTGTTGACTGAAATAATATTTCTACAGATTGTAAATCATAATTTGCACAAGTCCTTTTTTATGTAGTTTTGATGATGATGATGTAGTATGCTGCTAAACATTTTTTTTAACAGTAGTGTGGTTTTTACACATACCATGATCTATAGAGCCTTTTATTGTGAGGTACACCTGTGCTTTGCTTGCAATGACAGTGTTCAACAGCAAGAAAGGTTTAACAAGCCGTGATAGTCAGGTTACATCCTTAAATCAGAAGTGAATCCACTGAAACTCTTTAAGCAGCCTCTATGTTCTCATTGTAATTCACTTAGATGGCCTGATGCCCATGGTGATGAAGAGGCTGTGCTCTCAACTCATCCTGCTGCAGGCCTGGACTGCCCACCTGTGGAAGCTGTTCTACAACGCACGGAAGCCTCGTAGTCAAGTTAAAAATGATGTGACCATTGAGAACCTCTCTAGAGATGAGTTCAACTTGCAGAAGATGATGGTTATGGTTACTGCATCTGGAAAGGTACAAGAATAAAGCTTTTCTCCAGAAACACTACTGCTCAGTAGTGTTTCAGGAGAGACGAATTGTGCTGCACAGTTTCTTTTTATCTTGCTTAGGATCAGTCAGGCCTAAAGTAAAATTGAACACTAATAAATAGATTCAGCCTGTTCAGTCAGGACAGTGTCTGTTCATAGTTCTACTGTTTTTCCCCTACCGTTAAGCTCTTTGGAATAGACAGCAAGACTGGAAATATTTTATGGAGACACTACCTGGATAACATCCCTCCTAATGCAGCCTTCAAGCTAATGGTGCAGCGGACCACTGCGCACTTCCCTCATCCTCCACAGTGCACACTACTCATCAAAGACAAGGTATCTGATAACAAGAGATTGTGGACCACACAGATATAAATAAGGCAAATTGCTTCACAGTAAAATCAGATCAGTTGATGGAGTGCAGGAGTTTTTAATTGAGCATGGCTTTACTATGTATGTACAGTAATAGCTGAATATGTTTTTCCTCCTGCTGTTACCAGCACTTGAAAGGAAAACCTTGGTCTAACCTGTGTGATTGTAGAAATAGTGTGCTGTTATTTCTGCCATTTCTGTAATGTTTTTTTGAAATCAGGACTCAGGACTGGCCACACTTCATGTATTCAATCCCATCTTTGGAAGAAAGAGTCACATCACTCCACCCGCTCTGCCTCAGCCAATACTTCAATCACTCATGTTGCCACTTATGGACCAGGATTATGCTAAGGTCTTACTTCTCATTGATGACCAGTTCAAGGTCAGTGCCAAACAGTAAATAAGATTGACATCCTGAATTAATTATTACATATTCAGTGTCTTGTCTCAAAGCCACTTTTCTTCATATCCACTGTTATGACCCACCTTGCTAGGGGAAAAGGAAGTAAAGGAAAACCCAGATAGACGAGATTATGGCAGGATATTTAATAAAATAGTTGGGGTGTTTTTACAAGGAATAAACTGAAACCACAAAAACGACATAAGTACAGGCTGTTGATAGGCAGTTGAGGAGTTGGGAGCCAATCCCAGATGAGCATCCATACAGGTGATTTTGAATACTTATAAAAGGGTGAGTCACAGAAGAGAAATGGATAAAAGGCCAGGGTCATAACATCTAGACCCATCAGACCGACACTCGGTGACGCAGATCTTTTTCTTTTCTTCTTCTTCTTCTTCTTTTCTCACAGTACAAACACAGATATTGGTTTCCCTTAAGTGGCTCATAAGAACTGCATCCATCTTACTGATTTTCCACAGGTGTCTACCTTTCCTTCCACAAAGAATGTACTGCAGCAGCTCCAGGAGATGGCCTCATCCATTTTCTTTTACCTTGTTGACTCCAGCCAGGGAAAACTCTCTGGCTATAGGCTGCGAAAGGCAAGTTTTGTTATTGACAAGCTTTTAGAAAGCCTGGCCACTACCAGGCATTAGCTTGTGGTTGCTAAAGATGGTGACAAAGCATGTAGCATTTTTATAGCAGTGATGATTTTATTCCATAGTTCAGTAATAAAAACTGATCAAGAAACCCTCAAATATATTTTCATAACAAATGCTTTATAGTATTGTTTCTATTCTCCCAGTGAGCTTCTTTGACATGATGCTGAAACTACATGCTGATGTGCAAAAAATGAATCCTGATGATTTTTGTGCTCCCAGGACCTGTCAACTGAGCTGATCTGGGAAGTCATCATTCCAGCTGAGGCACAGAGGATTGTCTCTGTCAAAGGCAAAAGGCCCAGTGAGCATGTACACTCCCAGGGCAGAGTAATGGGAGACCGAAGTGTCCTCTATAAGGTATAGTAACTCGCCCTAAAACCTGTATTTTGGAAATAGTGTTGAGAAAGTTTTTAGAAGTATATAATTGCTCTTATTTATGCTCTGAGTTTGGTCAGTATTTTGTCTTTCCCACTTCAGTCACTTCCTGTCTTCTGATGTATAAACTGTGAATTCATCTTTTCCGAAAATGCTGTATGTCATGTCACTGTTTCCTCAGTGACTCATATTCACCCTCTCTCTCTCTTTTTTTCACTCTTTACTCAACTCTTGAAATATACAATAACAATACAACATTGTGACCCCTGTTAAGGAGTTCAATCAGTTGTACTGGACAAAGAAAAAAAGAAACAACATTTTGGTAACTTTGCACAGCATAGAGCCTTGTCAGTGGCACCACAGGTAAAGGAGATCACCAATATCATTAGGAATCATCCCATATGCATCACTGGTTTTATGATGATCTCTCAATCTGTATTGAGATGTCTCGCCCTGGCTCAACAGGTGACAGGGCAGACAACACTACAGTCATGCAAATATATATATAGCAAATGTTTTTTTTTTAGTTTATGAATTTCCATGTATTTTGTTACATTTGATCGCGGAGACAGTAAATATATAATTACAAAATGATACAGTCATAGCCTTCTTTATTCTTTAGCGATTCACTGGTTCCTATATTTCTATTTATTTATGTTTTTTTTTTTTTAAATGACCATCCAAAATGCCCCATCTGTAGTTGGCAACACACATTAAATTACTGTACATTATCAAAATAAATAATAGTAACTGATTGTCCTGTTAATACAGCATTGTTATTTATATTCAGTTCATTATGTTATATATTCATATAGACTACTCACAGGCATAAATATGTGACAGTAAGCAAATCATACCAAACAGTTATGGTTGGGAGGGAAAATGATGAGTCAGGCTCTAAAGATTCTTAAATTTAGGTCTTAGGGAGTGACATGGGATTTGACCTAAAATGTGCATCTGTGAACAGAATACATATTTTTACCTTGATTTAATATGCAGAATTGTGTCTTTTATCTAATATCTTTTTTTTATAGTACCTGAACCCCAATCTACTGGCAGTGGTGACTGAGAGCACAGACTTGCATCAAGAGCGCAGCTTTGTTGGGATCCTCCTGCTTGATGGTGTGACTGGTCGCATCATCCATGAGGCTGTTCAGAGGAAGGCCAGAGGACCGGTGCATGTCGTGCACTCTGAAAACTGGGTGGTGGTGAGTATTAGTGATCATCATAGCCAAAGGTCAAAAGGTTTATCCCCAAGGGGCAATTTGCAGGGCAGCCGGTAGCACACAGACATTGTCACATCACAATCATAAAAACATAAAACACACACACAAAAAAATCGCTGTCACCCTCCCTGAACAAATACCAATCATGATAAATAACTTCAATTGTCTCAAAGCATTGTTTAAAAAGCTGATGGAAACCGAGATAAAAGAGCCCTTCTGCATCTCTGTAGGCTACATCCAGGCTGCATCCAGAAGGGAGCAACCAAAATTTAGTGCACAGAGGATGGCTGTAAACGGCCACAATTGACTTGGCTTTTTTTTTTTGTTTTTAAACACATGTAAGCTTTTTACTGCAAGTATTGACATTACTCTGTAACCAGTTCTGATTTTTAAAGGACAAAAGCCTATACCAACTTAAAAATAATAAAACATGAGTAACACATTACTATAAAAGTGTTGTCCACATCAAACCTACGAAGTTTGCAAAGAAAATACACCCTCTCATGGATAGGTTATCAGTAACCTAGTCCAGGTATTTGGACTGGATCACCCCCTCAGTATCCTGACCATTGAAAACAACACAGGGAGATGACCGATTTATTTATTTGAAATCAAAGATGATGTCCTTGGTTTTGGCCATGTTGATGTTCCCATTCCGCAAACTCTGTCACTACCTGGCCACGATCAGGTGCGTCACCATTCAGAAGAGAAACAATAACAGAGTCATCAGCAAATTTGTTGGTGTAACTGTTCTGTGGTGATCTGGTGGAAGATAAAAGCTTATTTGATAGTACACCATTAACGATCACACATTGCAAAAAAAATCAGCGATCCAGCAGATCGGCCCAAAATCAACCTGCTCAACCTGCTTGTGAAGATATGAGACTGAATAAAAGTAAAAGCAGAAGAGAAATTGATAAAAATATTTTGCACCAGGGTGTTAGCATTTTCTAAATGGGTCTTTTAGCTCATGGCAGGTGTATAGAAATGACTCGAGTGGTGTAATAAGTGTTTGCTCTGTAAATGAAGATTGACTACAGACAGGTGATCTGATTACTGAATGTGTCTCCTGGCTCTGTTTGACTCCACAGTATGAATACTGGAGCACCAAGTCTCGCAGGAACGAGTTCTCGGTTATTGAACTCTATGAAGGAATGGAGCTCTACAACAGCACTGCCTTCAGCTCACTGGATCGGCCACATGCTCCTCAGGTGCTTCAGCAGTCTTACATTTTCCCCTCCTCCATTTCTACCATGGAGGCCACCCTGACTGAAAAGGGCATCACCAGCCGCCACCTGCTCAGTGAGTTTCAGTGCCGTGTGTTGCTGCTGCCAGATATTTTTTTTATTTTGATACAGTTTACAGAATAACCCACCTTTTTTCTAATAAATCAACTTTTTTTTTCGGGGGGTGGGGGTTGCATTGTCACAGTTGGATTGCCAGCTGGAGGGATTTTATCATTACCCAAGATGTTCCTTGACCCTCGGAGGCCAGAAATAGTGTCAGAGCAAAGCCGGTACGCTCTTCAGTCAGATTTCATTTAAAACATTTCACTGATTATTGTTTTTTTTTCTGTTGTTGTCATCTGTCTAACCTGTTCACTTAATCTCCAGTGAAGAGAACCTGATACCCTACTCACCAGAGCTGCTGATCCGTACAGAGTGGTTCGTCAACTACAATCAGACTGTATCAAGAGTGCGAGGGATCTACACCGCCCCCTCTGGCCTTGAGTCAACTTGTCTGGTGAGTCTGCTATCACAATAATGACAAATGTATTATATGACGATTACCAAAGTCAGCATTTCATTTAGCAGTCATTTGTGTTATTATAAAATGATTGGACAGATGCCTTGGAAAGAGTCTCTTTTTTTTTTTTTTTTCTTGAGTTGCCTCCTTGTGTCAGGATTTCATTTACAAATTTTCAATTTATGATATTTATTTTCTAAAATATGCTAGGCCATAAAGGTCATAGGAAAAACAAACATTCACATACAGTACTGTGCAAAAGTCTTAGGCCACCATTAGTTTGGCTGTTTTAGCAAGGTTGTAATGATCATTTATATTTATTTCTCAGTCTCTTTATTAAGATATAACATACAGGAAATCTGTATACAATATTAAAAACACAAAGTTTTAGCATTTAGTGTGATGTCCCTTGCACAGCTTGAATTTTTTTGGGGGAGACTATCCTGAAGTCTGGAAACCATGACAGACCCTCCACCATGTTTCACTCCTTCTGCCACTTCTCTCCAACTCTTCTTCTCACATACTGTTGACGACTACACCTGAAAATTTCAAACTTCCACTCTTCACCCCATAATCCTCTTTTCCACTGATCTTCACCCTAATCTTTGCAGGCTGTTGCATATCTCAACCTCTTTTCTCTGTCCCCTTTCTGAAAAAGTCATTTCTTGGCTGCTGTCCTTCCACAAAGGCCGCTCCTGATCGAGCTTCTTCAGACTGTGGAAGGATCAATTTGGCATCCAGATGAAGCTGCCAGATGCTGAGCAAGGTCCTTGCTGGATTTCTTCTGATTTCTCAAAGAAGAAATTCTGAGAATCTTATCAGATTTTGACAGTTATTTTGGTCTTCCACTCCTGTTTTCATCCTTGACCTCTCCAGGTTGTTTATATTTCTTTACAACAGCTCGAATACCACATCCAGTTTGTTTGCTGATTATTATTATTATTATTATTATTTTTGACATTTTTGTTTTATTAATACTGTGTACACATTTCCTAGTTTTCTAGTTGTATTCTGAGAAATAAATCTGTATAATCATACCATTGCTAAAACATCAAATCTAATGGTGGCCTAAGACTTCTGCACAGTACTGTATAGGATAACCTTTGCATAGTTTGGAAATAATGGTTATACAGAAAATATGACTTCTATGTATTGGTTGGTTCTGAACTCCCATTGCAGAGATTTAGACGCACACTGAGGTAAGGTCTCAAATTACGGGAAAGAAAATATGGATAAATACATGTGCAGCTGGTGTAGAGTCAGCACATGGCTTCCCCATTTCAGTTAAATTAAACTGACAATGTTTCTTTTATCTTTGCAGGTGGTGGCGTATGGTCTCGACATCTACCACACACGTGTGTACCCCTCGAAGCAGTTTGATGTACTAAAAGATGACTATGACTACATGCTGATCAGCAGCGTACTATTCGCCCTTTTTTTTGCCACCATGATCAGCAAACGACTGGCAGAAGTCAAACTGCTCAACCGGGCATGGCGGTAAAGCGATTGCCTAAATCACCTCTCTGACAGCCCCAAGGCTGCACAAAGGACCTCAGCCCGAGGAGATGAGACGGTTGAGGCCATGCCTTTAGAAGAAAACAGGTCAAAGGTCAATAAGGCCCACAAGGAACTGCAGGGGTGAGGGTACGGTGGGGTGGGAGCGAATGGAGGGATTAGTAAAAGTTTTATGTGTTTATTTTTTAACTTATTTTGCAAGCACAAGGAATTATTACATAGTAGAATAATTGTTTTTCTGCCACGTCATTTTGATTAAATGTTAATAACTAGTTGATTACAAATGAATGAATCAGACTTTATTAAATTGTGGAGTTTAGAAACTCCAACACCTCAAAGTTAGATAGTTGTTAGTTTCATTAAGATTATATTTGTGACATTTCTGCTTCATTAGACTGTTCTAATGGAGAATTAATAAATTTGGAGGTCATAGAAAAGAGAGAATTCAGTGTAACACGTGAGCATGATTTAGTACAAGACCATGCCTATATGGTATTGTACTTTTAACCTGCAAAGTCATCATGATGCCTAAATGCCATTTGGTTTGATGGCCCTCGAACAGAATATGAAGTGTGAGTGGACACTGTGGCATGGTCAGGGCATGGTTATTAATGCTTTCTTGAAGACTATCCCACAAAAGGCACGCCACACTCACCATCATCATGTGGTTGAACAAGTAAAATAACCAACAGTAGGCTTTACTTTCTGTTCATCGATCATCTTGCAGCTCATATGCCTGTGAGCAGTTTTGATTCACTGTCAGCAGCTGTTGATGCCCCATTAAAATTTCTCAGAACCCCGGGTTTAGTGATTTCCCTGCTTTCCCAAACTTTGCCGAAAGAACTGTTGAAGCCTCGAAAGTAAACACGATCCGTTAGTCTAACTGCAAGACTTTTAAAAAAAAAATATTGGCAATGTGCTAATTTGTATTTACCTACTGTACATTGTAATGCATTTTCCAAAAATGCGTTCAATATAAACCAGCAAAAGCAACTGAAAATGTACTGTGACCCTTAAACCGTAGCATTAAAACTACAATATGCAACTCAAGGTAGCACTAGCATAAAACTCCAAATCACTTCACTCTGCTCCAATATGCCCTGCTACAGGGGTTTTCAACTAACTGTGACCTAGGGACCACCATTCTGACCAAGAGGTAACCCAAGGACCTCTGGTAGCTAGACCCAATTGGATCATATTTGAATCCTGAAAGTCACCTTGGCTTTTCTAAATGTTATATCGTTGCATGAATTTTTTTTATGAACAATGAGTAAGTAATTCATGTAAAAAAAAAAATTTTAAAAACCCTACAGTGAAACTACATTACTGAATGCATGAGCAGGGACCACCTGCAATGCTGTTGCCAACCAACCACTGGTTGAAAATCCTGGCTCCACTACGTTCTGCTCTACTCCACCACGCTCTGCCCAGCTCTTCAGATACTTGTCTTTATGCAATTACAGTAAATGAGAATGCAACAAGACTTACTGATCAAGTAGAAAAAATTTAAATCTCTGGCTGGTTAGAGAGAAAAATCCCACTCAAAACCTTTTAGAAGTTAATATCTCTGCACTCAATGAGTCTGGGTCACAGGAGACTTTGACAGCACCTCTCCACAAGTTTTGGAGCAGATTTCTTTAACAAAAACTATTTGAAAAAAGTTGTATACTGTAGCTTTAAGTCAGTAATTGCATTATCAACGAGAAGTTAAATAGTTGTTGGTACACATTTAATTTTGTGTACATTATATTTATGTTACAGCAGAATCAATTTATCAGTAAATGAAAAGTTACTGGAATATTTGCACTTCAGCAGTGGTTTTAGTTAAATGTATAGCACTAACAAAAAAAATGGGATGTTTTCCTGCTCTTTTCTAAGAAAGGCTGTACTTTCATGAGGATCCAGTCTGAGAGAATCCTTTAATAAAGACTCCAGGTGTTCCAGTGAGTGGCAAAGCAGAGATGTCAACAACAGCAACAAACACTTTCCATAAGCACAAACAATACAGTTCTGGTGTGGAAAAATGACAGTGAACTAATCATAGTACGAATAAATTAATTTATTTCTATAAATAGACATTTTATAATGATTTACTTTTGACAAAATTATGAACTTAGAAACAGCCTTTGCTCAGGTCAAATCTGACAGAACCTTCATGAGAACTTCCAACCTATTGGTATAACAAAGGTTACAGATGCATGTCTGCACCTCAACAGTGTAAATGTAACATGATATCCAAGCCCATACACACAGAAGGAATCACTGTCAGCACTTTTTTGACCATATATGCAAAATCTGTGCTAAATGGAAAGACATTATTAAAATAGTTTGCCATGTGTATTAATAATTACTATTTATCAGCTGATAACTGCAAATGAATAAATGCAAATAGCATCATTAAACAATAATCGCTTAGTTGTTGGATAGTGTTTTTATCAGTGTTTAAAAAGACCTGTCAATCAATTTAAGAGTAATATCAGGTTTCAGTCATATGGTCTGAATTTTGTTGGAATAAGTTACTATTGTCTGGATTTCCATCACAGAATGTACTTGTAAAAAATTAAACACTGTGCACATCAGAACAGAATATAAAGTATGAATCAATGCCTGAAATGAAAATGTTGGGCATTTTGTAGGGAGATTGTAGCTTGATGCAACTTGGCTACATTGTTCATTTTCAAATTTGCCTGAAATCGTTACCTTAATGTGACAAAGATTCTGCAAAGAATTAAATCTATCAATAGACTATAGTAAGAATTTAAAGCAGCATTGTTATAAAAAATAACGCACATTGGATGAACAGTTTGGTACAAGCCCAGCTTGTACCTACAGTAATTATTAGCTCACTTCTACAAAATATAGTATTAGCTCAGTTTATTTTAGTGATATGAACCTATGGCTGTCAGATTTAAAAGTGATGACGACTGATAAGCCATTTGCTCTGAGATAAGTGCAGTATCCCAGTAACCCAAACTGAAAAAGGTTAAAAGAGGTAAATATTTCTTCATAAGTAGAGAAAATACTGAAATATTGTGATGTTTTCTTGGCTGAACTAAAGGAAGTGTCGCTAAAATACTGTCTGGTAAAGTGTTCAGTCGATAACAGCCCAAAACCTCACAGTGTGATGCGTCGTGAGTAATGTTAGAATACAGTCATTGAAAATAACTCCAATATGCCATTAGATATGTGAATGCAGCGCACAGGTTTTTTTCCACACGCTTGTTATCACATGGTTGTTATTAATAATGTGAATCATAATTTTGTACTCGTCATCACGTTTCAGATGCAATAAGTGAGTGTATCTATCTGTTCTGCCAGACGCTGGTGTTTTCTGTCCTTGCCGGTTCACTGTGGAGTCTTTCTCGTCTGTCCGTGTACGCAGGCCGTCCCGGTGGCAGGAGGATGTAGTGCGTGGCACTGGCCTGTCTGCCATCCTTCAAAATGGGAACAATGCAGGGAGAAAACTGACCTGGAGGTGGCGCCCTTTCTCTCTGCTGTCTCTGTAATGCCTTACTCACATATTCTGGGTTAGCAGCAAAACTCTGTGTGGCAGGCATCACACCATTGATATAAATTGGAAGGCTTTTGGGGCTTGGGGTACGTGGTGGGCAGGGTGGGACTAGAGGGACCCTTGGAGGGATTTTGGGAGGCTTGTCTTCCTCTGTGGTCTTTGGGAGAGCAGGAGGTTTTCGCTCAATGGGGATGCGAGGAGGGACCTGCGGCTTGTCGGTGGTGCAGGTTTTGATGCTGCTATGTGGCCGGAAAGCAGAGCCTGAGCATGAAAAACGAAATCTGGATAACTGCTGCTGGTCTGGCTGTTTCCTACATAAAGGATCCCCAACTGCTGACACCACATGCTGGTAGTCTTCTCCCTGGAAAGCGGGTTCCCAGTTGTTGGCTCCAAACCCGCCTCCTCTGTCTTCTCTGCCTGGCCAGGAAAAAGCCATGGAGACAATTCCAGCACCACCAGCTTGTAAAAAGCTCTCCTGGTAGGCACGATTTACTTGGCCACGATCTCTGTTGCTGCCCCTGCATATGGCCTTGGGGCAGCTTTTGGGCAAAAGGCGCTGTCGGTCACTGGTAAAAAACTCCACCTCATTATCAGCCGCTTCATCAGACATGAGCTCCTCAGGGTCAGGCAGAGGCGGCAGGGGTTTGGACTGTCTCTGGTGGTCTCCAAACACTGTCCGTCTCTGGGAAGAAGGGACCACCTGGTCTCCCTCATGAGGCTGCAGCATGTTATCAGATGTTAGACGGTAAGTGCCAGAGTAGAAAGGAGACTGAGGAAGGGAGATGCTGGCTGGGAAAAAAAATAACCATGCAATTAAACCAATGTCTTCATGAAATCCTAAATTGCACTACACACTAAAAAACCTTGCTTTGCTTGCTTTGTTTTGATATCATAGTTGTTTTCCTCAGAGCGGAAAACAACTCTCAGAGGAGGAAACATGGAAAACAACTTGCAATGAGAAAAAAACTCTTAGAGATAGTGTAGGAGGGGGAAAAAAATACCAGGGGGAGTGAGCTGCCCACTCTAGTTAGAAAAACCCTTCCTGTTTTAAAGAAGTTATCTTACAGGAAACAAGAAGAAAAACATGTAGGAAACCACAACCGCTTCACCTATCACCCTCTTCGTCAAACATCAGCCACAACACCCTGATTAACACAGGAATCGTCATTATCTGCGGGCAGGCCATAATCTTAACAGAGCTTCCCATAACCTTCTCTGTGGAAACATCCGACGTGCCCCAGACTGCAGCTGGTGCCCAGGGAGTGATAGCCTCCCTTCCTCCTTCACCCCGCTTTTCCCCTGCTACACAGCTCAGCCCACCGATGACAAACTCACCTAAACCTTGTCTATGTGCTGTTTTATTAGTCCAACACCATTTAAACTCCAGTTTGTCAAGATTTTAAGAAAACCGATTAAATTTATAGCACTTGTTTTAATCTCTTTAACTGTTTAACAAGCTATTCAAAATAGTCAGCTGCTGTAAAATTTTATCAGTTCTGTTTATTGGCTTATTTTTGTTTTGGTCCTTTCTGTTTCAGTGTTTAACAGGTAATTCTAATGTAACTCACCCACATCCAAAGCATGCTGTAATAACAATTCATTTTTCAAGCAACTTCAGCAGCTATCAGTAATTAAAAATTAGCATATTATAATGTTCCTAAAATATTAACTCACATTCTGTCATATTCACAAAGCATTTTACTGGTGCTAGTTGTAGACATTAGTCAGTCTGTAGTTTTCTACCAAGGTAAAATGATTGTATAATTAATTCTATGTACAACTGGTGTAAAGGACTCACAGTTAAATTCCTTGGCCGTTTGCCGTTGTTGAAGCTGTGTTGGGCTGTGTTCCGTGTCATCACTCAGGCCAAAGCACACTCTGCAAAGCATGAGAGGTTGAGAAATTCATACACAGCAGATGTGTATAAATCATTCCTGCACTTAACCAGTAATGAGTAAGTCATTACATTTGAAAGAACAACTGTGACAACTGTGTTACCAGGACATATGCTCAGGTTTTCTGTCTAATGTACATAGTTACATTATGTAACATTGCAATTTGCTCAGTGTCTTCTCTGAACCATATTTTTCATGTAGCTTTGCTCTTTATTTACCTAAAATTGTAATTTAGTTTCATATTATTTATGTTATATTTCATGCTGGGGACGCTGTCTACTCAGAATATACACTATCTATTGCACGTTTGTCCATCCTGGACGAGGAATTATTCCTCTGTTACTTTTCCTGAGATGAAAATTTAATCTCAAAGATCATGATGGATTTTGACATGGAGAGGATTAGAATTTGGATAGATGTGAGGTGCTGAACTTTTTATTTTTTTATTGTATTAGTTAGTTTCTGTCCCTTTATACAATAAACATGGCCAAATAATAACAATTCAATGTCAGATTCACAATCTTTTTTTAATTTAATTTTACTCTTCTCAATGGCAGAATGGTGTACCTGTTCAGGTCATGCTGTCCCCAGTAGCTTTTCTGATTCCCGGCCATGCTGTGGCAAAAAGGCAGCTTCTTTTTCAAAAGTCACTAAGATCCGTACTGGTCTAAAGCTCCAACACAAGTCAGCTCCATCAAATCCATGACGGCTTAACTTTACCCACTGGTATGCTGTGTGTGGGAAACAGAAAACTGAAAGGTAGAGACTTAATCTGCTCCAGAGCAAAAAGGAACACTTGAACAGTGACACCTTGTTATCACAGGTATGTCAGAATTAAGCATTTGACGCTAAAAGTAAGAAAAAAAAAAAACCTTCACATTTGGTTTTTGTATAACATCGCTCCTTCCATTTGTTCCAGTCACATCATCACAACCCCATCCAGCACACCCAGCATGTGCACTCTGCATGCACTCATCCTACAACTTACACTCCTGATGCTCTGCATTGTTTTGGGCCAGCTTCTAAAAAAGCAGCAGTCACAACAAATGCCCAATAAATCGCTTCAATCTGTTCTGGCAGCTGCCATGTGTATCTCTTTGTGGTCATTTGTCTGATGAGCCGGCTACTGGCAGGTGCAGGAGGACAGCAGCACTCCTCACCTTCCTTCATCTCTGTGACTATGATACCCGGTAGTATCTTCCCTTACAACAGGGACTAATTAAATATATTTTTGTTTATTAATCTATCTCTTGAAAAACAGTAAATTTAAAGACATCACACTGAAACTAAACTAGTTTAATATCAATGTAATAGTTCTGGGACGCTTTGGTGCTCACAATATATTATCCCTTTGATAGTGCAAACTTGAAAATATGCCTCCTCTAGCATTTAAAACATTATTTATAATACAGATGAACATTTACTGCCCCTATCGATTACATTACAAAGCCAGATTTCACAATAAAATGTAAGAATTAAATCAAAGACACTGTTAGCTATCTATTCCTTTACTGTCTGCATAACTGAATCATGTGAAAATTCACCTACAAACCACTAATTAGTGGACCGCCACTGCCCCCATCCACCCCCTCACACACACTAGCCTGGAGGCAACTCCATTTTACTATCAGATTGCAGTCTTACTCTTCAAAGTCCTGCTTTGTTTCATGTGCCTACTAGGTCTACAGTTGATGTGGGAAGCAAACAATGCAGAGCATGCATAATGCAACAAAAACAGTGATCCATGCATCTATTTGAATATTTATGTCATCCTTAAAACAACCAATTGTGGCGTCATTTCCCCTAGTGAGCCTCGGAGATGGAAGACGCTGAACAATTAGGAATTCTACCAGCAACTGTTCAGTGTCCATGAATGGAGCCACTCTCAGGCATGAATGGGGCTTTGTATTACTTTTGGTGCACAGTGAAGCAAGCCTTAAAATCCAAGTGAACTCTCCCATAAGGTTGGGACTGAAGATGCAGCATGGAGACAAGCAGACATGGCCAAAGAATGAGGCTGTGCCACAAATCCCCTTCAGGAGGACTGCATGTATTGGCACTGTTTGAAAGAAAAGCCAGAGGCTAAAAAAGTTTGTTTATCTCATGAAGAGCCTTGGCGTGTTGTCCTTGGCTGTCCCCACCTCACTTTTTTCAGGCAACGGGACATTCAATGTCCGGACCGTTACGTATAATTTAATTATGGTGCTGGCATAAAGTATGTGCTTTGCATTATCTAATTACAACTTGCTGCCAACTCTAGTGGCCAAGTAACACTAACTAACAGGCTGAAGGAAAGGAATTCTAAATGTGTGACTGGGGTTTGGGCAAAGCTTTATAGTTTACTAACAAATTAGACCTGTTACAGATATAACATACCCAGTACATGTATTGGTTTTTAATGGACCAGGTGTGTGAGGGCCAAGCCATTTGCTTCACCTGACAATGAAAATGGAAACAAGTGGCAGGGCCCAACCCTGTGGCATGTGGAGAATGCAATTTGAGCTTTCTTCATCATTTGCAAAAACACCAAGTTAACTGAGTGTGCACAAAACAGTTTTATCTTGTAGTTTGCTTTGCAACTGTGACATAAGTACATTTTACATTTTTATGTTCTAGATCCATGACCAAAACATAGCATCTTAGTGCTGGCAGTGTGTGGAAATTTAGTCTTTTCATTCACTTTTTTATACTTATAAATACTGCACAGCCCGCCTGGCCAGCCACATACTGGAACAATATACAATATCATTTTAATCATAATAATTATTTAGCATATCAATATTTGTTATCTTTGAATTTTTACACTTTATTTTTCCAATATTTTTACTCTTCTTAATTATTATTCTTCATTAACACACCCTGAAGAGCATGCCACTCTACACTGCACTATTCATATTACCCTGAACATATTATTATAAAACTTTTCCATTTTAATCTTTGGACATGACTTAAATCCTCCTGAATGTGGCCAATACTGGTGAATATTTTCTGACAGGCTCATTTCACTCATGAATTATATTGCAGTTTACTCAAAAACTGTTACTGCTGTACTGTAGACTGTCATTTTGACTCATTTAGGCTTCACTTTAGTCATTTATTATGCTAAGTAGGCCTATATAAGCACAGGTGAAACAATCAGTTGGTGGTTTTGCAAACGATTTGAGTAATTTCTTATACAAACAATTGCCAAACAATTAATGACCCATGCTCTTATTAATGAAAAGCACCATTTCTTGCAGTCTTATTAAGAATAGTTAAAAATTACACCAGCTACAAACAAAAGTATAATGCCGCTTATACATGAATACATCAGCAGCAATAACAAAGTACATTAAAAAAAAATTATTAAACATTTGATTCAAGTTTCCCCCCCTGTAATAAAGTATTTTTACAGTGTGGAATTAGTACTTCTACTTAAACATGAATAGAGAGATAGATGCAGTTTAGTTTCCTACACCAAGCTTCACACATAAACTAACCTAGACTATTAGCCCCCCCTAGCGGCTGACCCGAGATGGGCCGAGCAGTACCAGACCATTCGGCCTCGATGGATCTTCACTGGACGTCAGGGGACCGTGCAGCGGACCAGAAGAGTAACCTCTCCCGCTGCTCACGGACAACTAACCCAGACAGGCGAGTGTTGTTAGGCTACAAACAGCCCAGTTAAAGAGTATTGTGATTTACTGTAATTTGGACTTTTATTTTATTTTATTTTTTACATTGAACAGCAAGTTCCTCTAGAAGGACAACACAGTAGCTTTCTAAGGCTTTAAATGGCTTTAAATAAGGATTTCTCAGTCGGTCATATCACATAGTCTATAACAATACTCCCGATTGCTCAGTTTGATACAATTAGACTTAAAAACAATTGTAGTTATTGTTTTCATGGCTCATTAAAGGATGTCTTACCATGAAAGTGCAGACTATCCCTCCATCACGTAAAGCCGGGTCGCGCTGCGTGTTCCTGCCCACTGTGAAACAACCTGTGTAATGTGTGACACGAGCCAAAGTCCCAGTCAGAGCCGAACCACGTGCGACATCCCTCCTCAGTCTACAACACTGGGGAGGTGAATCTCATTTTGTCACAGTGACGCGCTCTTCCACATCTCCTTATAAATGCATCCAGGACACCGACCAGAGCCCTCTGACTCCACCCCAGACCGCCTTAAAGGGAAAATACAACTAAAAAAACCGTTAGGAAATATTAAAAATGATAAATATTAAATATTAGAACATTAAATATTAGAAAAATAGCCTATGATTTATAAAATTGCAGTGGTGGAGAGCAACTACATGTTTTGTTTTTGTTGTAGCCTACTATTTTTTTTAATATTTACATTTGCTACTTCATTCTGTGCTACTTATTTCCAAAGAAAAATGCCATATTTTAAAATCTACTAACCTACATTTAGGCTAAGTAGTGATAGTGGATTAAAGTATCGGCAGTAATAATAGAGTTACTCTCATTCATTGTAATTAGTACTTTTATTTTTAATACTTTAGTGTAATTTGCTTAAATCAAGAATTTTGACTAATAATGTGGTATTTAAAGGATGTGAGTACTTTTTCCACAACCGTAAACCACAGAAGAAATTGTTAGTCTAGGGGATTATCAGTTTAAGATATGAGTCAATAGAGGTACAGAGAAAATCACTCTGGTGTGGCTGTCATTATTCACAAAATGTGTCCTCACAGCCAGAGTCTGAAGTAATCAGTGAACACCTCAAAGCTCTAACTACAGCAAAATGTCTGTTCTCCAAACTGTTGAGCATTTCATTAATACTGGAACAATTTATGTTACGGTTTATACATCAGAAACCCAGATTTCAAGCTTGTGCAAATAATATTTATTCTGAACAAGTAACTCTGTAGGTCAAATAGCAAAACTACCCAGAGACCTCCAGAATCACAATTAGAATTGTTTTATTATTGTCATGCAATGAGTGTATGGGAAATTGCTTTCAATAATGCAATAAACAATTTTGGTCTGACCCGTGTGAGAGAGTGGGTAGTTTTTGGCAGGAGTACAATATAAGACTGATAGAGAAGAACAAGTACAAAACTGGTGGCTCAGTCATTGTGGATGAGGACATGTTTAGAAGCCTGTAGGGCACATAGGAGTTCACTGTTGTCTGCGTTTGTCTTCACCCATGCTAAGAGAGGCAGAAGGACAAAACAGGAGGCCATTTACCAGAGAACAACAAGGAAGTGAGTCTGGGCCATTTCTGTTTCTCCCAGAGTCCAGACTGCACAGAGCCTTCAGTCTTCCTCCAGACTGCCAAGTGATCTTTTTACTGCAGTTTACAATCCAAATAAATCCTCAGGACCATTAAATACCGTAAAGTGCTGAATAAAGGAACCGCCTTATAAAGGTGAGGAGAGATGTCTTCCTTCCTATTGTCCACTGTTGCAATACTCCAGTAAAATCCATGCAGAGTCATGTATGGACTAGAGAGTGACCTATACAAGTCAAGTCAAGTCAAGATTTTTATTTGCCATTTATGCATAAACAGACAGTCTAGGCATATAGGAATTCTTGTGCAGCTCTCCTTTGGAGTCAGGTAAGGAGTCCAAAGCCAGAAAGAATACTTAGTCTTAAAATAGAAAAGTTACATAAAGGCAACAAAGTATTAAAAACCACAACACACAAAAATAGGGTAATAGTATTTTCCCCAGTGACCTTCAAACATCGCACCATTCACATGGTGGAGTTGGACATGTCATTACTTGGTGAGGTAGTGAGGGGTTATAACATACTAAAACACAGTTTATATTCAGGCCTGTTTCCATTGCTTGGTAGAGAATATCCTGCTATTATTCAGGTCCCCCAAGAGAACACTGTTGATGAGATGCTCTTACAAACATACCTTGTGGAACATTTCTACGCATATACCCACTTTAAACCAGAAATTCACAAAACAAATACAGCGCATGGACTGTGTTTCTATTGTTCCAATTGACTGTCCCTCTCCTGCCAACGTAATTTGTTTGCCTAAAGGGATACTCATACTTTTTAGCAAATAAGGTATTTGATCAACGTCCTGTTGTGCAATGGGGTGCAGCAGTAGGACAGCCAGTGTGACACAAAAAGGTGAAAATGTTGACAGTAGTTGTGCTGCACCAATCAAAGGAATTTCTTTGAAGAGCAATAGTGCAACTCGCATTTTTATTTGGAAACATTTAACATGTACAATCCTTTTAAAGGTCTTAGTCTGGTCATTTGTTCTGTTTGGTTGTGTAGAGGTGTCACAGGTGTTCGACATTTCAAGTTTTTGCCACCTGGATGAGCACTCTGTTGTTGATCTTTGGCCCTCTGGGGGTGCTTGTGCTGACCCAGGATGCTCTGAGTTGTGGGGGTTGTTGTTGGGGTGGACCAGACTCCCATAGGGGAAGGTCAAGTCATTTCCTGCTCTGAGAGACCTCCGTCCCTCACAGCTGTCAGTGCAGTCAGAAGCCCACCTCCCACATCTGTAACCTCCCCATTCTTTTTTCAAAGATGTGTTGAATTGCTCTGAAGGAACTCCCTCATGCTGCTGCAAAATCAAAGATGGCTCATCAAAGCGTGACCAAAATCAAGGACTTCTTTTTATGACCTTCTATGAGCTCTGATTAAAGACGGAGTAACATCAAGACCAAAGAAGGAATTAAAATAATCCCTGAAATATAAAGCCAGAGCAGATAGGTAGAGCAGATCTGTTTCACATCGCTCCAGAAAATGCTGTGAACAGCAGATAACCCCTGAAATGAAGTTACCTCAGAAGATTAATGTCTGCCCACCACTCATTCAACAGTATGTCAAGGTGGAATAGGACAAGAAGTAAGTAGGTGTTAACATACGTGTTCTATGGTAAATACATTTGTGTAGGTTGATGTGCTGACATGGTGACACGAGGAATTCTCTTATAGAGGAACCAGCTGTGTACAAACATGTAATAGTAATTAGAGTGCCATTACAGACTGCACAGACAAGCCTGGGGCTGTTTTCAAAGTCATGGTTGACCTGTCTTATGTTTGAGTGTCACATTTCTTTTAAACATAATGCTATTGTTCCTATGAATCAATATCAAAGGCTGCAACAAATAAGACTTGTATCACAGCTACATTTATGAGACATTTATGATTATGTAAAATGCTTCCGTTACAGCTCCTCCAGGTATAAGCAGGGGGTCACTAGAGTTGAAACAAAGGGCACTGTCATCCAACTCTTGACGAAGTTACTGTAATTGTGAAAAATTCCTATGAAATTTATGCTGCTCCTTTGTTTTTTGACATTTTATTGTATATACAATTGGAGTGCCACGTAAGACGTTTTATAAATAAAGGATAAACAAGTTCTGAATAGGTGCCATTCATTCAGACTGTATCATTGCTGTTTGCAGAGTTACAGTAAGTATGATGTGAAAAACACTCCCTTCATTTAATCTTTTATAATTTAATGGATTTGCGGTTGGCTCTGACATGTTGGAGGCGTCAGGAAGGGATCGTGCTCCTCAAATGTCTGAGTGGGCTTTGCACTTTGACCTCATCCCGTGAGGAGACAGTTCAGTTGTCAGAGAAGCAACAGCTACTCAGAAGAAGAGAATGGGCTGAAGAGTGATGTCTGTGCTGCCTTTGACTGTGTATAGCTGAGGAATTGCAGTGAGGTCCCAAAAGAAAATACTTTCTGTGAAATTCTGCTGCAAAACTGAATAGTTAAAAATAAAATGTAGCTACAAACAGATGTATTAGAGGTGGAAAACATAAATACACACACACACAGCTTAACGCGTAGTGGGGCTATCCATGTAAAAGGCTGAATGGTTTTCCCAGGGTACCAACAGAGAAAAACAAAGCAGAGTCAGGGAGCAAAAAAGTGACTGAGGAAGTGGTAAGGATTAAAGTGATTTAAACCCTGTGACATCTGATTTCATGGTGACAGCTTCAATGAACTGCTTGGACCCGAGCATGAAAAGAGTGATTCTTTGCCCAGGATGCAGCACTGAGCAGTTTCCCTACCCTTGATTTCAGGCCTCAGCGGGCAGAGGGTCTGCAGGCCCAGCAGGATGCCTTCCGCAGACCTGTGAAGTTCATCTTGAATACATTAACAGTTTCAGGGAGAAAAGTGTATATTGGCAATGGACCTGACTTTACTTTTTTATATTATTTCACTTTTCAGTAGCAACTCTCTGCATAAATCCCCTTTTTGTCAGAGTATAAAATATTGTTTGTTGGCCTTGGAGCTGAGAATCACATGTGCAAGCCACAAGCAAGTCTCAAGTCTTAACCTTCAAGTCTCAAGTAAATCCCATGTTACTGTGGTGTCAATCAAGCAAGTTAAGTCAAGTCCCTACAATAAGTCATGTCACGTCAGTCAAGTCACAAGTCAAGTCATACAAAATGCTGATGATCTGATTATGTTATGGGAATAGCACGTAAGTGAAATGTTAACAAACCTCCTCTGATTATGATAAAAAGACATGGCCATCAGAAACTCTTCTCAGTAAAATGCATAATCAATTTGAAGCCAAGTCTAACAGCACAAACGTAACATTAGCTTTTGAGCTAATTTCATCTGTCACTTTTGTAGTGACAGATGAAACTGGAAGTTGCGGTGGTCGTGTTGCTGATTTTTGCACTGCAGACTTCACATACCGCTGTTCTCTTCTTACTACTATCATCGACAACATAATGATTGAATCCAAATTTTATTACTTTTGGCCCAGACCCCTCCATAAGGTCTGCATCCTGTGACCTGTGTTGTCCTCTGTTGGTAGGTTTCCTGGTTTGCACACACTGCACTAGAAATCACCCAATTGTGTTTCAAAAACTAAACATAACTTCTCAATATCTAGAAAATGATAATATTTAATTTTAAAAAGTGAAGCAATTCTGTGTCATTTGTCTCACGTCATGAAAGTCTTTTACCAGTGTTAGCCAGACAAGTCTCAGGTCTTCAGATTTGTGACTTAAGACTGACTCAAGTCAAGTCATGTGACTTGAGTCCCCCACCTCTGGTTACCACTGAAGTTTGCTCTTCGGGACATGGACGTACTGAGCCACACTGTCAATATTTGCTTGTTTTCACACTTTTCTTCTGGGGTCAAAGTCGATTTGAACCATAACATGACAGACCTTTCAGAAGAGCAAGGGAAATAGTCAAATTTGGTAATGTTGTTCAGCTGCTCATTGTTTACCATTTTTGCGTACGTCATGATTCTGTCGTGCTGAGTAGCACGGGGGTGACATGGTGAGGCCATCTGTGTTTTCATGCCCTACAGACTTCCTCAGAAAACCACACCGTTATTCTGTCTCTACTCACAGCATAGTTCAGAATCCTGAGACATGACAAAATCAACCTTACTTTTTCCTCTCTCTCTCTCTCACACACTCACACCCTCCTCTTCTCTCACCTTACTTATTCTTGTTCCATCATTTCCTGTTGAGTCATCAATAGAGTCAGACTGCACCATGTTTTACAGTTTACTGCTCCCCTTCTTTCTTTCCACCCCCCACTTCCTTGTTCACAGATGCCTGTACTGTAAGAAGGAAAAGCACAGTGTGACAGCAGAAGAGTCAGAGAAAAGTCAAAGCAGATGTAGGAGTCCCTTCCTGGCAACAGGACTGATTCATGTAGTAAGCAACTTAGAGGATCAAAGGATTGTTAGCTCCACAGAAGATTCACCACACTACTTGCCACAGCATGTCATCAGTCTATATCATCACTAAAAAAAGGAAAATGAATGAGTGTGATAAAAACCCAGAATAAAAAAAAAAGTCCTTACAAAATTCTTTCCAGTAACACTGGAATTGTATTACTTCCTTGGAAAAGATTTGTGCATTGCTTTTAGCAATTTCAGACATATACTAGTGAAGTGGGGGCGAGGTGAGCTCAGGCCTCACATAAACCCTGGCAGTGTGTGACTGTGTGTGAGGGAAGGCTGAGGGCAGGGCTCTGAGAAATGAAAGGGCTTTGTGGCAGATTGGTTGAGTCATTCAAAAATACAGCTGCTGACTCAGATGGCAAACTTATCTCCTAGAGCATGTCGCCCATTTATAAGGCTTTTTGTCTGTGTGTGTGTGTGTGTGTGTGTGTGTGTGTGTGTGATGAGGACCAAACAGCTTCATAAAGACAGTTTGAGGGAACTCTACAGGGGTGGCAGAGGTTAACATTATTAATTTAGTTCTCATTCTTTCAGAAACTACAGTATACGCTTGCTGTTTATTCAGACACTGCTCATAAAATTACCAATCAGATTACGTCAAATGGAAACTGAGAAGGGAGTGCCTATTCACACCACTACTACAATCCCATCTTGGCACCAGGTCAAAGTGTTTCT